GGGGGGGGGGGGGGCGAATCTCCTGTGACACCGGCATTTTGGCATGTAGGCGGACAGCAAAAAAGTGGTAATATTAGATGTATGCCTGACTGTTTTTATGCGGTTCTGAGCATCACTAGAAAGCCAAGATTCAGTAACTTGCCACGGCATCAAAGTTATTCGCATAAGTATAGTCTTGAAAACGATTCATGTTGGTTTCAGCTGTAATTACCGCGTTCTAGATTCGGTGAACACTTTTTAGACTTCTTGCGTTGACCAAAAAGCAATTTAGATCGGACTTACTCGAACGAGGAGGCGGTGAAGGGTTTGAGGAAATATTGCACCACAGAGTAGAATCAACAATTCTAAGGAGCATAGAAACCATACTTGGATAGAAACCATATTTGTCTTTAAAACTTATCCATCCAAGGCTACTCAAATTAGCCGACGATGAGATTCTCTCCTCAGACTGTTCTGTATTATGATCGTGTTTATGAACTGGAGTTACACTTACTGTGCAAATAAATATGATTAAAGAGAACAGCGAGTTCACAGTGTTCACACCCGCCATCTTGGGCATTTGCCGAGACTCTTGGGAAAACAAAACTAATCATTTCCCGAGTGAGCAGGCGGTTTGACCATTTTATCGATACGGTTTCATATAAACAGTGCCTAGATACTACACTATGAGTCTGTCTATGACTAAAAAAAATCATCCAGCTGTGAGTTTGTTCTGGTCTCGTGTAAAATGACTGAAACGTAAAATTACCCTGCTGTGTCTTTGTCCTTATCCAAACAGCCACTAGAGACAACTGACCGAAACGCATCACACACATGGCCAAAACTAATCATTGTCCCTTTTAGCTGCTACTCAGATTAACATTTCATTAAAATCCAAAGTTCAAAGTATTATATTGCACTGGTATACTGATCGTGTCTGTATAATAGCGCGTTTGTTTTGTGAAAAATCATGATCTTCCAAGCTATTTTATTTTTACATGGAGATAGGGTGACCCTATCAGGAGGGTTACCCTAGCAAGCGGGTCACCCTAGTCTAATGTGTTTTACAGATGCGTTTACATGCGCGCTAGGGTTACCCTAGGGTTACCCTATCAAACAGATAGGGTGACCCTAGCAGCAGGGCTATCTTTTTGTTTACATGTAAACGGGTCAGGTAGGGTGACCCTAGGAAGCGGGTCATGTTTTATACGTCCTACTGTGACTGCTAGACAAACAAGGATGGCGTCGCAAGATTATACATATCAGCCTGGCGAGTATTTTAAACGACACCAGAAAAAATAAAACGGATAAGCAATCTACACATAAGGAAGCAGAGGCAGAGAATGAAGCTTTGTCTTTGGACGAGAACGCTGCGAATGATATAGTGTCGATAACAAAGTCAAAGACGGTGAAAAGGAAGCAAAATTCCGGCGCATCCTCATCGAGCACAGAAAGTGACAGACCACAACATTGAAATGCAGCAAGCAATGGCCCAAGAAATAGCATTACACAACTTGCCGCTTAAACTTTGTGTTTCGGCGCCATGTTTCTAATACACACGGCTTAGCGGCCACGCATAGGTAGGGGGGTTACCCTATCGGGCGACATAGCCCTAGCAGTAGGGCCCTACCTCATATAAACGATCGCTATTTTCTGACCCAATTGCTAGGGTAACCCTCCTGAAAGGGTCACCCTACCTCCATGTAATCATACATGTCCAATACCTATGCAAGATGTCCAATGGAATAATCAAAAGGCCATTGGACATTCCATTTGTCAAATGGATCAAATGGACCTCCAATTTCCCATTGGACTTTTGCGTGTCCATTGGATCCAATGGACAAATGGAATGTCCATTGGCCAGCAATGGATCAACTATCGGAACTATGCATCACCCGAATAACAGACCATGTGAAGGTTGCCGATCGGAACAATGCATCAACCGGATAAGAGCTTCCGCGTTTTTACCATTACGTAATTAACAGGTTGCAAGACTCCATGTGGACATGATTATGAAACCAGAGAGATGTTCCAATGGATCCAATGGATCCAATGGACCAATTATTGTCCAATGGAATTTTACTTGTCCATTGGATCCAATGGACAAAATAGCCTTTCCATTGGAAAATTGCCTGTCAATTGGTCCAATGGGAAAATAATATGGAAGTCAATAGACATTTCTTATATCAATAATATAACAATATGTTATTGCTTCGTTCTTAAAAACTCACGCAATATATCATATAGCAATATATAATATGTTGTTGTTTCTTTCTTAAATTAAGAAACCTACACGCAATATATCAATATAATATGTTGTTGCTTCGTTCTCAAGAGACCACATTTATATAACGCGGAAAGGAAAGATCCTTATATCAATCATAATATAATATGTTGTAATTGCTTCGTTCTTAAGAAAACACGCAATATATCAATATAATATGTTGTGAACGTTCGCTTAAGAAACGTCTTTGTTCTCAAGAGACGCGCAATATATCAATATAATTTTCCTTCGTTCTCAAGAGACCACATACATGGCACGGGAACGGGAAGATCCTTATATCAATAATTGTTGCTTCGTTCTTAAGTCAAGAATTAACTCACGCACTATATCAACATAATTTTGCTTCGTTCTCATGGGACCATGCATGCGTACATAACACGGGAACGGGAAGATCCTTATATGAATAAATAAATATAATATATAATGTTGTTGCTTCGTTCTTAAGAACTAACGCAATATATCATATAGCAATATAATATGTTGTTCTTTCTTTCTTAAATTAAGAAACCTACACGCAATATATCAATATAATATGTTGTTGCTTCCTTCTCAAGAGATCAACTGCATCCAATGGAAAAATAATATGCAAGTCAATAGACATTTCTTATATCAATAATATAACAATATGTTGTTGCTTCGTTCTTAAGAACTCGCGCAATATATCAACGTAATTTTGCTTCTTTGTCAAGAGACCACACGCGTACATAACACGGGAACGGGAACATCCTTACATGAATAAATAAATATAATATGTTGTTGCTTCGTTCTTAAGAACTCACGCAATATATCATATAGCAATATAATATGTTGTTGTTTGTTTCTTAAATTAAGAAACCTTCACGCAATATATGATAGCATAATATGCTATATATATGTCGTTGCTTCGTTTTCAAAAACCACGCAATACATCGTATATCAATATAATATGTTTTTATTTCTCTCTTGAAGTCGTGTTTACACTACAAGCCTTCGCCTGGCCTTGGCCTACATTTTGGCAGTGTAAAGTGTAAACAGACTTTAGCCTTGGCCTGACCTATAGCCAGGAAATCTGGGCAACTACAACCGGTGACCTAGGCATGGCTTACGCTTGGGGGAGTAGAGAGGTTAAGATACCCAGGTTCCGGTTTACGGGTACGAGTATCGCCATTTTGTTTACCAATTTTTGCTGATGTCAGCAATTTTACCCGTAATTTCTACCCGTTTCCCCGCGGTAAACCGGGGTCTACACGTAAACAACAAACGGGTACGGGTGGTTTCTGTTTACTATTTTTGGCCCTTTTAAATAGTACAAATTTTCAGCATCTTACCCCAATAAATAATGCACATATGCTGGTCAAAGTTTTCAACAATTTACGACGAACCTCAACAGCGAAAGTTGCCGTTCTTTGATCGGTTTTCTCACGCCGGAGTATCTTGGATTTCTTAAGTTACAAGTTATTCCCCGATTTACGGGTACGTGTATATCACCCGTACCCGTAAACCGGAATCGGGGTATCTTAACCTCTCTAATGTAAACACTTACGGCCCAGGCCTTGTTTTTATGGCAACGTGTGTCCACAGGGCACAGTGAGATATTATCGGACGAGCGGACAACGGGCAACACATATAAATACACAAAATTAATTACAAAATTCTAGACCAAATTCAGCTAGTCTCAAAAAAATAATGTAAGGGTGTAAACGCGGCACATTTACCAATGCTTGTAGTGTAAACAGAACTTTAGTCAAAGCTGCTAAAACTACCGCTGATGCGCAGGATACAGTATAACCGTCGTGGGAACAGACTATAAACTCACAAAGTCTTTGGCAGTGTGTGAATGGGCGACTTTTTTGTCGGAATACGACGTGTTATCATGCATTTAATTATAAGTAACGTTTCCTTTAATTAATTGCCTCCGGCATAGGCTTTACATCTCGTTGCGCTCTGCCTATATGTAGTTCACTTCATTTCGAACGCAAAGTTCTATTAGTTGTTTTCTCAAATCTCAATGCATGGTTTAGATATGAGGATGGACATATATAAATATATTCTAGGGCTTGCTGAAGAATTAATATATTTCCCACACAACAATTTCAATGTAGCCTATCGCATATTTTTAGGTGTATACCAACTGGATATATTACCTTATGGCTTATATTCCATATATAAAGTTTAATTGTGTTATCAACCCTATATAAGGGTTCAATGCACAACGAATAAATGCAGTGAAGTGCTGAATAAGCATCGACACTTGACCACAACTCCAAGTGTATTATAAGCTACCTATATGGTAGAAAAAAGCAAATTGTAAGGAATTTTTTTTTGTCTTGCTTATAATATTATTATGTCGCCAGTAAAAACCAGGCTTCACACATTGCATTTTAAATATTCAGTTGAGCATTGGACATCACTTATGATGCTTTTTACTGAACAGAAATTATTCCACAAATTAAAATGCTTTTTTTAGCTAGCCTCCTCAGCAGCGCCCATTCCGGCTGAGAGCAGGCGGCTACTTTTTAGGGAAAACCGCAAATTTAGGGCATTTTTCGACTCATTACGACCGTTTTACGCAAGACTTTTTACGCGCGAAACACGACTTTTCACCCAGTTCCGCCAAAACTCAAACATAACAGGCGGCATGCATTCAAGGCAAGTATTGATGTTCGAGACGGATACATTATCCTCATCATTATCCAACCCACTCAAACAGATTTTTGGGGGGTTTATGTTCTTTTTTTATTCGCTGCTTGTATATTAAGCACTTATTAATTGCCACGACTTTTTACAAAGACTAATTAGTTTTTCACGCAGAAATTATTTAAAAGACGTCTTGCACTTTTGTTACTCTTCCAACACAAATCTATCAGTTATATGGAACGTACTCGAATTTCAGGTCAACTGTCAAAGCGATAGATCCGTCTAGCTATTTATGTAAAGGCTATAATAACTGAATTTTTTAATTACATGTGGTTTGTATATAATTTGAATTTGCAATTCTGTGGCAGTTGCTGCAAGGAGCCCAAGGATTTTTTCTGTCCTTTACTTAATAAAAGATAAAAAAGGTCGTATGGCAAAATAACATATGATGATACATGCATGTGTCGGCAAAATATAAATACTTCCTATCTCACACGTTCACCATAATCCATGACAACATATCAGTATATCAATAGTGTTATACTGACAGTCACTTCGTTTCCTATGCCAAACTTATATGCAAATTATGATCGTAATTGTATAACATCTCATCTTACATCGCGTCAAAATTGGTAAAAACTAGTCCTTGGTCATTGCCAACGCCGTCGCTACTATTAAACTGCTCAGTTTCGTCAGTGCTGCTGCTGCTACCAAGAAGAAATGAATTAAAAATGTATCAATACAAACTTTCCAGGTTTGACTGCCAGTGCAGTTTTCCTCACAGTTCTTCCACAGTCGAAAGCTTGTGTTCAAATCCAACATTTTTAAATCTTTTCAATGTATTTTTAACGTAAGCCAAAGTCACCACGCACGACATATATGTTTCATAATTATATATCAAGACTGCATGGAAACGCCGAAAATGTAATTTACTCCTAGTCGGATAGAATTTCGCGGCGGCCTCATGTTTCATGCTGCTGTGTTTATAAATTTAAACTTATAACCTTTGCCCAATATACTCTGTAGCGGCTTTACTAAAATGCTCATTCTTATTCTCTACATTTACACTAAAAATACGAGCAGAAACATAAAAACTTAACAAGAACGCAAAAATGAATGAAAACAAGAATGATTACATATTTCAATATGCCAGCAGTCACTATTCACTAACTACTCCGGCAATATGCACGCACGAATCAATCACTTACCCTTTTGAATCCTGCTTTCGCGTCTATGACTACAACATCTTTAAAATGTTTTAATGTGTTTTAAGCCAAAGTCACTACGCGCGAACGAAAGTGCAAACGAAAATCTTTAATACTAGTCCGAAAGAATTGCGTGGCTTTTGACATATATTACAGTAAAATGTAGTAAACGGCCAAGCAGCAGAAGGTTTTATACTAATATTAGCCTTCGCCCAAACCTCAAATATACATGTCTGTAGCAATAATAGTCACATTGTAATTTTAACTATGTAGATTTACACACTTTAACAAGAACGCAAAAAAATACTCAAAACAAGTATGATTGCATATTTCCACATGCTGCAGCCACTATTCGCTAACTGCTGTAGCAATATTATGCCCGCGCGCGAAATCACTTGCCCATTTGATCCATCTGACAAATATTTTTCCAACGGAAAACACGGTGTCCATTGGATCCATTGGATCCAATGGACAATTCGTTTGGCTATCTCAATGGCCTTGTATCCACATGACGTCCATGTGCTTGTCATTACGTCATTGAAATACATGGTAATTCACCAAATGAAAACGCAAATGTCCGATAGAAATTCCACTTGTCCACTGGATCCAATGGACACACAAAACTCCAATGGACATTTCCAGGGCCATTGGATCCATTGGATCCAATGGGCACTTTCGTTTGGCTATCTCACTGGCCTTGTATCTACATGATGTCCATGTGCTTCTCATTACGTCACTCAAATACATGGTAATTGAACAACTGAAAACGCAAATGTCCGATGGAAATTCAACTTGTCCATTGGATCCAATGGACAAACAAAACTCCAATGGACATTTCCAGGTCCATTGGATCCATTGGATCCAATGGACACTTTCGTTTGGCTATCTCACTGGCCTTGTATCTACATGACGTCCATGTGCTTGTTTATTACGTCACTCAAATAGATGGTAATTGACCAACTGAAAAAGCAAATGTCCGATGGAAATTCCACTTGTCCATTGGATCCATTGGACACACAAAACTCCAATGGACATTTCCTGGTCCATTGGATCCATTGGATCCAATGGACAATTCGTTTGGCTATCTCAATGACCTTGTATATCTACATGATGTCCATGTGCTTGTCATTACGTCACTCAAATACATGGTAATTGACAAACTGAAAGAGCAAATGTCCGATGGAAATTCCACTTGTCCATTGGTTCCAATGGACAAACAAAACTCCAATGGACATTTCCAGGTCCATTGGATCCATTGGATCCAATGGACACTTTCGTTTGGATATCTCACTGGCCTTGTATCTACATGACGTCCATGTGCTTGTCATTACGTCACTCAAATACATGGTAATTGACCAACTGAAAAAGCAAATGTCCGATGGAAATTCCACTTGTCCATTTGATCCAATGGACACACAAAACTCCAATGGACATTTCCAGGTCCATTGGATCCATTGGATCCAATGCACACTTTCGTTTGGCTATCTCACTGGCCTTGTATCTACATGACTTCCATGTGCTTGTCATTACGTCATTGAAATACATGGTAATTCACCAACTGAAAACGCAAATGTCCGATGGAAATTCCACTTGTCCATTGGATCCAATGGACAAACAAAATTCCAAAGGACATTTCCAGGTCCATTGGATCCATTTGATCCAATGGACACTTTCGTTTGGCTATCTCACTGGCCTTTTATCTACATGACGTCCATGTGCCTGTCATTACGTCATTGAAATACATGGTAATTCACCAACTGAAAACGCAAATGTCCGATTGAAATTCCACTTGTCAATTGGATCCAATGGACAAACAAAATTCCAATGGACATTTGCAAGTCCATTGGATCCATTGGATCCAATGGACAATTCGTTTGGCTATCTCAATGGCCTTGTATATCTACATGATGTCCATGTGCTTGTCATTACGTCACTCAAATACATGGCAATTGACCAACTGAAAAAGCAAATGTCCGATGGAAATTCCACTTGTCCATTGGATCCAATGGACACACAAAACTCCAATGGACATTTCCAGGTCCATTGGATCCATTGGATCCAATGGACAATTCGTTTGGCTATCTCAATGGCCTTGTATATCTACATGATGTCCATGTGCTTGTCATTACGTCACTCAAATACATGGTAATTGACCAACTGAAAAAGCAAATGTCCGATGGACATTCCACTTGTCCATTGGATCCAATGGACACACAAAACTCCAATGGACATTTCCAGGTCCATTTGACAAATGGAATGTCCAATGGCCTTTTGATTTTTCCATCGGACATCTTGCATGGGTATTGGACATTAATCCATGTAATAAAACAGGCCCTTGCAATAACATGACCTACTGACCTTGTGTCTCCAATCACACACAAAGATGTTAAATTAAATATACATATCTGGTGATGACAAAATGTTAAACGTTTATAAAACACTTGTACATATTACGAACGTACTTGCAAATATTGTAATAGTAAATACAAATTATTTTGTGAAAATTCATAATTAAAAAGGTAGATTAAAAAAATCCTATTCTTCGTTTACAGCTAGACTTTTTAATCGCGAAACTACAACACTCTTAGCATACTTTTAATAAGCTGAAAATCAATTTTGGGGTCGGGGCACTTGAACCATCAAGCACATCAATCACCATATCACGCAAACAAATTAGAATCAATCAAAATATTCAACACAATTTGTGCTGAACAAACACGCATACGAATCTGATCTGTGATTGGTAAAAAAGTGAAATACGATAAAACTCACGAGCACAAGCTATAGTGAAGAGCGCAAAATTCTCACTATAGCGACGAGGAGACTAAAAGAAGCGAGTCAGGGTTTTCAGAAACAATACAGTTTGAACGATATTTGGGTAATTTTGTCCAGGATTAAACTCATTGAATCATCTCCCACTACAAGGTAAAATTTTACTCTTAACTATATAACTATTATTGAACTGATATACTGATATGAATGTGTATATAAATCGGATATAAATTATTATTTATGAAGTCATTCACTTAGCTTGACTTACTTCAAAGACAAATGTGCATGTATTCAAATTTATCTCAATTTTTTAATATTTAATAAATATTTGCTGCATTAATAATGATCATAGTAATCGATTTTAATTAAGTCAGCTACGAATGTAGCTCAATATTGCAATCTTTAGCAAGTAGTAATGATTCTACTATTTAAATTAATTTTATATTTATACTTTATTCAGTGAATATGTTTTGGAACTTGGCATATATAAACAACAGTACAAATAAACTTTTCCTAAATTTTCCTTCACTTTACTTTCACCCCCACCTTTTTGGCATCCCGCGCATCTGTTTCAGAGTCATCACGTGATATATTGATGTACCACATGACCACAGAAAAAAAATTGAACTTAGCTGCAACAAATTATGATCACGAGGTCCGGAAATATTTAATTACAAGGCACGTTTGAATACATCACGCGGTGTCTCTTACGTTAGCGTACGGCCAGCAAAAAAGTGAGGGTGGAATAATAGTTGATTAGGGTAACTCTATCAATTACAATATTTAAATGGCTATTCATACAAAACATTTTAATAAACTTTCAAACACTCATTAATAATTCATAAGCTTATTGGCAAATCATGTCAACCATAATATGTCACGTGCAGTGGCTTTAAACCAGATAAAACACTCCCTAATTAGTTATCTTTATATAAAGAATACTAATTAACAAGGCAGTATTCGCAGGACATGTTTTATAAGTTCTAAAGCCACTCGCGTTACGCGCTTATTAATATTATTAAGTAATCAATGTAATCCCTCATTAACTAAAGTTTTATTATTATTATTATTATTATTTAAACTCCTAACAAAACACTCCTGCTTGTTTACTAAACAGTATATAGCATGCAGAATAAAAAATTATAATGATATATTTTCCAGCATCTATACAGGGTGTATAATTATTCCAAAGGCACAAAGTTATACAAAAATATTGATGTAAATGTGTAGAACCTAGGACCACTCGAAGGGCAAAACGATTCCAAGAAAGGCAGATTTGCGAATTGTGCATGTTAGGCCTTCTCGCTATCAGTATCTCGCCAGCGTATATCTAGCATTGCAGAAGCGAAAGGCAGGAACTAGGCAAATTTCAAATTACTTCTTTTCATTTTTGCTTCCCCAGATCACCAATGAATGCAGAACAGGAGCGTCCTACATCAAATGATGAAGAAATTTATATTCATACAAATGAAGAAACAACAGCGTTGACAAGTGAAAATCCTGCCATAGTGTATGAACCTGGAACACGTGGTAGGCCTCCAATACAGGAGACTCTTGATAGCGAGATGCTCTATCCACAACCAGCACAGATTGCTTCTGACATTTCCGGGTATTATTCAGTTGATGCTTTTGATTTAGAAGAAGAATTGGAAGTAATTGGTATAATGGATGATGGCAATGGCCAGCTGGAGATCTTGGTCATGTCGGTTGAAACATATCCAGCCATTGTGGCTGAACTTTGAACTTTTTCTAACTAATACTTAAAGGAACGCCCTACTAAACGAAGATAATATAATATAGATATACATGGTATATATAGTTGTAGTCTGTTACTATAATTGTAGTCTGTTATTTAAATATTCAATTTATGCAAGGCTAAGTCGTCAGTTGTCCAAACTACTTTAAGGAGGCTCCCTACAGTTTCCAATATCGGTCAGTGTTTTAAACTAAAACCTATTTAAATAATTTAAATCTAAAAAAACTGATTTTTTGCACAAGACATTGTTTCCTCTTATATAAAAGTGTAATTTTAACCCACAATCGCTACTCTTCACGTTACCATGACAACATGACGTCACCATCTATATTAACCAAAAAAGCCGTCTTAGCGGACAAATAACCACGGTTGACCTACCTTTTTTATTCTAGAAATTACATTGTTATAAAATTTTGAATTTTTTTGAAGTTATTTGACAATCACCAGTGTAGTTTTCGAGAAACTGAATTTCAGCCTTTAAGATTGCATTTTAGCCTCTGAAAAGGCTGAAATTTAGTTTCTCGAAAACTACACTGGCGATTTTCAAATAACTTTCATAAAAGATTTAAAACTACATAACAATGTATTTTCTCCAATAAAAAAGGTAGGTCACCGTGGTTATTTGTCCGCTAAAAGACGGCTTTTTTGTTGATATAGCTAATATAGATGGTGACGTCATGTTGTCATGGTAACGTGAAGAGTAGCGATTGTGGGTTAAAATTACTCTTTTATACAGGGTGTCCCAAACTATTGAAATCACTTATTGTTAAATTTGAATGCCCTACCAAACAGCTGGACGTAATGATGCGTAAAATATTGACAAGGTGCATGTATTAGAATTTAGTTAGGAATATCTCCTGGTAAAGTGCGCGATTTTCTGCTCCTGGGAATTAAAAACAGCTTCTTAAACAGTTTCTTTATGCATAAAATTTACTTATGTCAATCATTTATGCACTCGTGGAAACCAACAGAGCGCTAAGGCATTCAAATTCTAACAATTAAATTGTTATTGGTGATTTCAATAGTTTTCGTTTTTTTGGACACAAAAAATTAGTTTTTTTTTAGATTTTAATTAATTAAATAGGTTTTAGTTTAAAACACTCACATATTTTGGAAACTGTCGGGAGCCTCCTTAATTAAGCTAATCTAACATATTAACCACATTAATAATAATTAAATATTGCATGTAAATATAGTTGACTGCTGTTGTAATTAAATATTCATAATTTATTTTTCATAACTTTCAGGCAGTTGCATCTACACCAACAAAAGCTTGTTGTAATTAAATATTACATATAACTATTTTTAACACACATGCAGCCCTGTGAAAAACAACTCTTGCTTTTAATTGAATAGGTTAAATAAACAAATATAATGTTAAAATTGTCACTATAGTTGATTAACCCAATAATCTCGTCTCGGTCTCTTGCCATATCGTAATTTAAAGATAGGCATTATTTCATAGATTGCCAATCTTCACAAAGTTTGGAAAGAAGACCACACCGTGAAATATTCGCACAACTTGCAAGTTTATATAAATTACGATTTTCTAAGTTTGTATTAAAATATAGAGAATGTATAAAACTCCGTACTCCGAATCCATTTTTTCCACCATGCCAAACAGGCTTCAAACAGTTAACTGAAATTATAAACTGTCATCTATACACAATGAAACGCTACAAATTAACACATCTAGTAGCGTTTTGATGTATATTTACACCTTATATTGTGTGTATATAGTGACCTGATGTGAAAGAGAATATTGTTTCATTGACAATATTCTAAGGCTAAGTGGGGATTTAGCCAATCACAGCGCGAGTTTATTGTCTATTGTAAGGTGTTAGTAGAGATGTGCTAAATAAAGACTGAGGAGCCGGCTGCTTGGTAACGTATAATTTACAGGGTGGTTACCACTTGTTTTGTTCGCTGACGACATCCATCAGGCTACCATAGAAGCGGATGTGTGTGAATGAAATTACACACAATACCCAGGAGTCGATTCTCGAAAGATCGATTACCGCTAATACAGGGTTAATTAACATTGAATCGAATCTTATCGACAAAGTATACATCTAAATCATGCAGTTTGGGGAATTGGTCTGATGGTGTCGAAAATTTTATAGGAAATGAGATTTTAATAAACCAGCGTAGAAGCACAATTCATATTGTTATATAGCTAGCGTGAACACCAAACGTGATTGGCTGATTTGTGGTCACGTGACTTCAGATAAATGCAATGTTTCCCGCCGGGCAACAAGTGAAAAATTGTTGCCCGCACCGACCGGCCACGTACATAAATAAACAAAATGGAGGCACAACTCAGATAATGAGAAACTACGATTTTCCAAGTTTGTGTTCAAATAAAGAATATAAAAGAGAAGAAAATACACAACAGGCAACAGGATATGCTGCTGAAACCGTAGTAGGTTCTTTTAATTTTAAACTCGTTTACACTATAGAGTTTTCGTCACGAAATACAATTGTTGTATGAATGTTGTTGAAGTTGATTTTTGTTCGTCGCTATATAACAAAACACTCAATGCCTGTTCATCTTAATGTTTCCCTCAACTTCGTCTCGGGAAACATTGAGATTCTCGGGAAAACAAAACTAACTAAAACTTAAAAGTTGAGATTTTTACTGCGGAAACTACTTACTGTTCTAAAAATTTAAGTTGGAATAAAATGATTTTATACTGTATTACGTTAAGGATGGCTGAGCATGACAATAAATTGTACATACTTGGAACAACTTGTAACAAGTCCGTTGTCGTTGAGCTCAACAACTTTGTAGCAAGTTGTCACCAAGCCGTTGTAATCAAATAATAATCAGTGACAGTGTAATTTTAAAAAGTTAGCTATGGATGTAGGTCAATATTAGCAATTGGTCATGAATACATGATACTAACAATTATATCAATTCTATATTTATCAATTGTTCAGCGAATAGGAATTTGAGTTATTTGGCCTAAACAACAACACAAAGAAATTTTCCTTTTAGGGCACCTCTATCAATTGATTGATATTACCTCCGCCAGATATCATGTTTTCATCGGTGTTTGTATGTTTCTCTGTGTGCATGTCCCTGTGTTCATGTCTGTGTGTATGTACGTCGCAGACTCTGTGTATATGTCTGTTTGTCTGTCAGCATGATAATTCAAAAACAACACATTTGTTTATGACGTGTTTAGCTATGCAGTAGAGAAGTTAGGGCCGAGCACGCCAAAGAAAAAATGATGTCTGAAGTTTAGTAAGTTTTGCTAATATTGCTGTACAAATATATGGCGTCAATTTACAATCAATGGACAGTGATTATTGTACTTAAATTGACAATATTTAACTATTATTTTGTGTTTTTCAACCGCCAGATACATTTAAAAAGGTTGCTAACTGTGTAAACTGCTAAAACAAAGTAGGGCTCTGGGTACGAGAATGGGTCTGCAGGTTCTCCACCAGAAATGTTTTATATTTTTTTATGCTCATGCATGTTCAAGCTTGAAACAGATTTCAAATTAGCCTAGTCCCAGGCCTTTTCAGCGTGACTGGATCGGTTTTGAACCGCGGGAGAAGGCCTAGCGAAATTCGTCAACTTTCGGTCTTAGTCCTAAATTCATAAAGTTATAACCTTACGCAAACTGTCAGTACATGTATTTCCTTCCATATCGAAACATCTTCATTGTTCATTCCAAAGGCACAAAATATCGATGTAAATCTATAACCTAGGACCGCTCGAAGGGCAAAAATGATTCCAAGAAGCGCAGATTTGCGAATTGTGTTAGGCCTTCTCCCTTTCCTCCCCCCTCCCCCAGCGCATAGCGGAAGTGAAAGGCAGGAACAAATTATTTTTCATTTTTGCCTCTCCAGCTCACCAATGGATGCAGGTCAGGGGCGTCCTACATCAAACGAGAAAGAACATTATAGAGATGAAAATGTAGAAACTGGGGGAGCAGCATCCTCTGCACAGCAAGGAGAGAGCAGAATGATGGTGACAACGTCAACCCTGGCGGGTGAAAATCCTGCCATAGTGCATGAACCTGGAACAGATGGTAGGCCTCCAATATACAGGAGACTCTACAATACGCACAGATTGGTTCTAACATTTCCGAGTATTATTCAGTTGATGCTCTTGATTTAGAAGAGGAATTGGAAGGAGTTGATATAATGGATGGCAGTGGCCAGCCGGAGATCTTGGTTATGTCGGTTAAACATCTCCAGCCATTGTGGCTGGACTTTGAACTTTTTAACTTTCCCTACTACTGTATATACGAAGATAAGATAATATAGAAATGCATGGTATATAATTGTAGTCTGTTATTATAATTGTAGTCTGTTATTTAAATGTTCAATTTGTGGTCCCTCGTTGTCCAAACTACTTTGTTAAACCACATTAATAATAATTAAATATTGCACGTAAATATAGTTGACTGCTGTTGCAGTTGCATCCATACCAACGAAAGCTTGTTATAATTAAATATTACATGTAACTATTTTTAACACACGACCCTTTGAAAAACAACTCTTGCTTTTAATTGAATAGGCAACCGTGTGTATAAATATTTTTAAATAAATAAAAATAATGTTAAAATTGTCACTATAGTTGATTAACCCAATAATCTCGTCTCTGTCTCTTGCTATATTGTAATTTAAAGATAGGCATTATTTCATAGATTGCCAATCTTCACAAAGTTTGGAAAGAAGACCATACGGTGAAATATTCGCACAACTTGCAAGTTTATAAAAACAACGATTTTCTAATTTTGTGTTAATTAAAATATAGAGAATGTATAAAACACAAGAAAAAAACAGAACAGGCAACAGGATATGTTGCTGAAATCGCTCGGGAGCAGACTTCAAACCTATTTGACCATTTTATCAAATGGATTTCATATAAACAGTGACTAGATACAACACTATGACTAAAAATAAAATCATCCAGCTGTGAGTCTCGTGCAATGACTGAAACGTGAAATTATATCCTGCTGTGTCTTTGTCCTGGCCTTATCCAAACAGTGAGAAACGACGTAGACCGCAACGTATCACATATATGCCCAAAACTAATCATCATCCCAATTCATCCCGTTCTGATTTCGTCCTGCTCTTATGCAAAGAAGCGATTGCAGATACAAACGTCTAAAAGCACAATTCATATTTTCGCTGGGATTGGAGTAAAATAAATATTGCTACCTTAAAAATTCCTAACAATTACTATAAGGAGTATAACCATATTTGACATTTGTTGTTCAGTGACGTAAAACACCCACGCAGGTGTTCGTGTGGGTGTTTAATTTTGAGTGCCGAAACAAGCGCCACTACAAGTGACATGTAGTGATCACTGAAGTTGAGACATATCGTGCAAGCATCGATTTTCGGGAAATTCGGGTAAGTGTCGTTTTTCGTTTAATTTGTAAACAAGCAGTTTAATTTAGATTCAAAATTTAAGTTGAAATAAAATGATTTTATACTGTATTGCGTTATGGATGGCTGAGCATGACAATAAATTGTATATACTTGGAACAACTTGTAACAAGTTCGTTGAGCTCAACAACTTTGTAGCAAGTTGTCACCAAGCCGTTGTAATCAAATGATAATCAGCGTAATTAAGTTAGCTATATAGATGTAGGTCAATATTGCAATCTTTAGCAATTGGTCATGAATACATATATATGATACTAAACAATTATATAAATTCTATATTTGTTCAGCGAATATGTATAAGAATTTGGCCTAAACAACAACACACACAAAGACAAATAAATTTTCCTAAAGAAAATTTAGCTGATTAGACCACCTTTATCAATTACATATTACCTCGCCACATATATTATGTTTTCATCGGAGTTTGTATGTGTCTATGTGTCTATGTGTGTGTCTGACTTGGAAATTTTTCTTAATATTTCCAGACTTCTTCATTTAATTCTCAAATTGTTTATTAGACATTTACTGGTTAGAGTTAGGGATAGGATCAGTTTATTTTATAAAAATTCAATTTTAACTATAGGCACTGACAAACTGCGGGTGTAGCAAAGTCCCATTGGGCACGCAATTCAAATCAAACAAGCACTGAGGCAATATATGAACTTATCATGAAGTCAGTCAATTGAACCGATTATATTTAATATTATTTAAGTTAGTTTATTGCACAAGGTGTATTTATTTATCTGTAACTGGTTGTCTATGGCTATACCTCGCAGAATTAAATTCCCTTTCTATTAGAAATTTCTAGTTATTATAGATTTCTAGATCATCTACATC